TAGGTCTCCCAAACCTGCAAGCATGAGTTTTCCTGCTAAAGCCTGTGCTTTGAGCACTGGGTTTTCAGGTAAATTTTTCTGATGTTGTTCCATGTACTGACATTTCATGATAAGCCTGTGGCTTGTTGAGTGTTACAATGTTGTGAAAGCTTCCATATAAGCTTCCATTTCAGAAACAATAACAACACAGCCTGGTGTCGCAACCACCTTCCACCAAATGAAGTGAAAGAACAGTCACTAAAGAATACATCAGGGCTTCTAGCACATCCATCCTTCCGAGGTCTGTAAAATGAGGACCCAGATTGTTGGGGGCAATATGCTGACTCTATAAGCAGCTTAGAGAGGGCTGTAAAGCACTGTTAAGCAGTATATAAATCTAAATGCTATTGCTATTAGCACTACTATCTGGGGGCTTATAACATTGGAGGCATTACTTGTTTCCAGAGTGAGGTGTGGGAGGAGTAACCATTGGGTATTAACCCAGCCTTCTTGCCCTTGGAGTCTGAGGATAATCTTTTGAAGCCACGCCTCTGATCCTCCTCATGCTCCCCCAGATTAACCTCAGACTCCAGCCCAGAAGGAGTGTTTTTCCATATTCTCCCTCACCTGGAAAGATTTGAAGAAAGTTAGCAAATTATGCATATTCCTCTGACCGCTTGAAGATTATTCTGCAAAATTGTTCATGTTAAATATTTTTAATCCTTTTCCTTCCAAATCTGTTGTTGCTTACTTTGACTTTCTACCTTCCTATGAATTTTCAGGATATAGTTCCCAGATCATTTAGGGTACCCTTAGGTTCTGTTGACTGGCCTCGGCTCTTCAAGCTTCAAAATCAGGTACTATTGCCTTTGTATTTAATGACAAAAATAAGGTTCCCTTTTGAATAAGCATACATATGTTTTCATTTGGTTCAATTTCCAAATGTAACCTACTTTGTCAAATTGTAATGATAAAAAAGTGGGAACATGGGAAGTTATGTTTTAAAATTTAATTTGATTGTTGGTTTTTATATTTTCTCCATGTGTATGTATATGCATGCGAAGTTCCATTTCTTTTCTCTAGGAACTTTGAAGTATTGGATTATTTCCCATTTTTCTTGCCTAGTGAGAAGCGGGGGGTGTCTCCTACTAACATTACTGCAGATTTTTAAATGATTTAAATAATAAGTTATTAAAGCAGAAATCACAAAAAAGAATGAATTTGGAATGTCTTCCACATTATGATGACTTATGGTGTTCAGTGGTGAAAGATGCCTAATATTGTAGCGTATCCATATCCAAGTTTCCTTATTCAGTTGTAAGGTTATATCACAAAAATGAAAGGATAAAAATATTGAAACTTTGCTTTATAAAAACATAAGTACAATTCTTTCAAATTTTGAGAATGGTCTTTTATTTTATAGGATGGATTTTGGCAACTTACCTCTGAGCTTGGAATGCTTTTAGATCTTGATGTGCATCATTTAATTGATGTTTCACTTGCAAAAAATGGAATTCAGTCACTTGGTAAGGACATTTTCAATCATTTTAACGATCTACTTTCCAATATATCCGGGAAAAATAGGCTATTCAAATTCTCTGAGAAGACTGGACAAATTTGATACCAATTAAATACTTCTTCCTAGTGTGAAAAGTTAGCTATGGTCCACTGTTTATCAGAACACAAAAATGCATTGACATTCTTTTACTTTATATAGATTCTTGAAAATCCTGCATTGAGGCTGTGTACTTAAATTTCATGTCTTCTAAAATGATGATCAACAGACACTGAATTCTTTTTTTTCCATAATTTGAACTTCTGGCTTATAGAGGTAGTTTCATCTCTTCTTAAAATAACGTCAACAAGATGAGGACATACTTGATTTGGTCTTACCACAGAGGTTTTATTTCAGTGGGACACCATAGAAAGATGACTATGGCAAACCGCTTCTGTTTGGTTGCTAAGAAAATTGTAGAGATGTTCATGTAGTTATCCAGAGCCAAACTTTATTTAAGGGTATTTTTTCCTATATACAGGGAGTGAGGGATGTATATAATCAAAATCTTTTGATATTCAAGATTCAGATAAGGCTATGTTAACAAGTGTGATCATGAATTAGCTGTTAAAATGAAACACACACAACTCCATAGTCCCAAATGTACTTTTTTAAGGTGGCAATTGGACTTTCTTGTTTTTTCTTTTGAAGACATTTTGCTTCTCATCGAAGAAGCTTCTTCAGTTCTGACAGGATAGTGGGGATTGGAAGGATTTATATTCCTTGCAGACAGCTGTTAATCTGCACCCTTTTAGTGGGTCGTTGAAGACAAAAGAAAAAACAAAGTCCAGTTGCCTCCTGAAAAAAAGCACCTTTGGGACAACCATGACCTGGATGACCAAGAATCTCTACAGACATAACTCCATTGTTTCATTTTTTTTCCCCTCTCTAGGTCCAAAAGGAAAAGAGAAGTTGTTGCGACTGATTGCTACCCTTTTAGTGCTCCAAGCTATATATTTCAAGCAACTGGAAGGTCTTATCTTCAAATCTCTAATGAAATTGAAAGACTCTCCTCCATCATGGTATACTTGGGAGCAAAAAAATTGATATTCAGGCTGTTTTAGAAACACATTACTTTTAATTAGTTATATCATTCATCTCTAGTTCCTGTAAGAAAAATATTGTATATCCATTCAAAAGCAATATAAAAATGACAACTAAATTCATAACATCCCCTAAAATTAAAAACTGAGGGATTTTAAGAAATCCATCTTTTGGCACCAAATTCTCTCCTCCACTACATTATTATTATTAATGTTGTTGTTGTTGATGATGATGATGATTTATTTGTTTGTTTGTTTGTTTGTTTGTTTATTGAGTAGGAAGCTGGCAGGATACAGATGAAAGGCCTAATCTGCAGTAGCATTTTTATGTCTGAGAAAATCTCAAAATCCTTTGATGGAATTTAAAAAAAATCAGCAGTTGGTTGCTGTAGCCTAAAACTTAGTTTGCAAGGGTATTTTCAAGAAAAAGTCAAAGATCAGCTGGGGTAGTAGATGGCATTCATGTGGGTCAGAAGAAGGTAGCATGAAGCAACTGTAAATGTGAATCCTGTTTAGAGACGTACAGGTCTCAGAATAATTTTTAATACAATCTGTATATCATGCGTTTCATTACAGGTGTTCCTCGACTTACAACCATTCATTTAGTGGCTGAAGTTACAACGGCACACAAAAAAGTGACTTATGACCATTTTTCACATTTACGACCTTGCAGCATCCCTGTGGTCACGTGATCAAAATTCGGACACTTGGCAACCGGCATGCATTTATGACAGTTGCAATGCCCCAGAGTCATATGATCACCTTTTGCAACCTTCTGACAAGCAAAGTCAATAGGGAAGCCAAATTAATTTAACAACCATGTTGTTTAACTTAACAACTGTGGTTGCTAAGAAAAGTCATAAAATGGGGCAAAATTCACTTGACAACTGCCTTGCTTAGCAATGGACTTTTAGGGCTCAATTGTGGTCATAAGTCGAGGACTACCTGCATTCCAGATTGGAGTAATTGAATAAATATACAGGTGTCTGTTTTCCTGTTGGTGTTTTGCAGTGAATGTTCTTACCTATTTTCCTTTCTCTCACCACTGTTTACAGGGCACTTAATCCAGTAAAGAAAGCAATTGAGTGGGCAAACAAAACTAACCGTGAATTTCCAGGTATTTGCCAGCGTCTTCAGCTTGGAAAAGACTGGGATGATGTCACTAAAAATCTCCTGGGTATTTAAGTAATGAACACATCATACTTCATGCTTCTCCTTCTCTTAATAATTGAACACTACTAAGTTTGTTCTTCTCTTACTGATGAACATGACTCACAATAAAAATACATAATCATTGATTTCCTTATTTAAGATTATAATTATGCTGATATTTAACTTAGTACTTTTTGTTACCTTTATATATTTCATTATGTGTCCATTGACTTCTCCAATGAATAGCATGCATGACATGGCCAAGGTAAATCAAACATCATCTTGTGATTTTGGCTTCTAATGATATGTCTGGTTTTATACAAGCAGTGAAGAGTATACTTGTATAAACGATAAGTATATATTCTAGAAACACTATCTAGAAAACTATTTTTCTTCTTCCTCTCACCCTCTAAATACAGTTATTTTGTTTAGTTTTCAGAAATACAGCTTGCTTTGTTAAAAGTTTGGAAATTTTGATTTCTATTAAGCACAATTGATTTAATAAAAATCAAGTGATTGATACAATTGAAAAAGAAATTGTTGGAGACTTTCCCATTCTTATGTTCATTTGCATTTAAGGTAATATTGAAGCATAGAAAAGCAACAAAATAAAAATGAGAAAAAATATATTTTCAGTCAGAGAAAAGAAAGTACAACTATTGTTAAGTCCAGTAAGGGAACTTAAACTAATTTTCAGCAGTTCTAAATTTTAGAAAAAGTAATTATTTGGCATATTTATCTAGTCACCCAATTTACATATATCACTTTGAGTAACAATACAACAATATAACCAAAAACATAATCATTAAAACATTTTGAAAAATCTGTGACGGACCACACTCACGTTTCCCTAGCAATGCAACCACTTGGCAGGCTGTACCCACATGACAGGATCCCCCCCCCCCCCCCCAATGGTAAAGCCATGTTTTCAGAGTCAGGAGATAAAATTCCAAAGGTTGGGCAACGAATCTCCTCCTGGTTCCAGATGACATTGCTTTGTGAACTGAATCTACAATGTGCCCTTCCTGCCAGGCCTGATGAGACAGTTAAATTGGATTGGGCTGGGGGACAATCCCTCATATTATTTGGCCCCGTGCCATGTGAATTTGGAATTCAAAATATATATATTTTACAAGCAATACAGTATGTTATTTTAGAGTGGGGTTGGGAAATTCCCCGATGTGAATATGGCATTCTGCTCCAGCTTGCAGAATTCCTGCAGTTAAATTCAACCTTTTGAGAGCATGCTTCTTCCTCATTCAGATGCAGATGGACTTCAGTACAGGTAGTCCTCGACTTAATGACCATAACTGAGCCCAAAATTTCTGTTGTTAAGTGAGACATTTGTTAAGTTGCCCCATTTTACAAGCTTTCTTGCCACCACAGTTGCGGTGCAGTTGATTAGTTAGCAATCCAGTTGCTAAGTGAATCTTGCTTCCCCATTGACTTTGCTTGTCGGAAGGTGGCAAAAAGTGATTGGGACGCTGAAACCGTCATAAATATGAACCAGTTGCCAAGCATCCAGATTTTGATCACAAGATCATGGGGCTGGTGCAAAGGTCGTAACTGTAAAAAATGGTCATAAGTCACTTTTTTCAGTGCCGTTTTAATCTTGAAAGGTCACTAAACAAACTGTTGCAAATTGAGGACTACCTGTATAGGGGGGGAAATTTGCTTAAGCTGGGGGGGTGGGAGTGCACAGTAAAGCCCTCAGCTACCAAGAATTCAAGGCATGCCATTCTTGCGTGTTACAGCAGATCTGGAAAAATCCAGACTTGCAACTGGGATAGAAAAATCACAGTGTGTAATCTAGCTCAGGGGTCTCCAACTGTGGTAAGTTTAAGACTTGTGGACTTCAACTCCCAGAATTCCTCAGCCAGCTGCTCCAGATCGGCATTAAAAAAAATGCAAAACTCCAAGGCGGCTTTTCCACGCCCCGCCTGCTTTCCCGTCGCGTTTTCTGATTGGCTGCTTTACGACCTTAAGCGCGAGCGCACGTTTCCCATCCTTTGTTCTGATTGGTCGCCCCTCTGCTTACCTCACCGACATCGCGGGGAGGCGATTTGTCGCGAAGGTCAGCGACGCTCCCTCGGCAACCTATCGGGGCCTTCGGCTGCCTCCACACGCGGGGAGGGGAAGTGAGATGTTGTCTTTAAAGGGTTCGCCCCCAACATGGCGGCGGCCGTGAGCGGGACTGAAGGAGAGGCGGCGGCGATGGCGGCGAAATCGCCGGCGGATGGCCGGGCGGGAGAAAGCGGGATGCAGCCAGGGACGGCGACCGTGGCAGCCGGGGATGGTGGAGGAACTGGCGGCGGCGGCGGCGGCGAGAGCGAGGACGAGGAGGAGGAGAACGTCTACGAGGTGGAGAAGATCTTGGATATGAAAACGGAAGATGTAAGTCCGGTGCGGGGCGGGTTTGGCAAAGGCAGAGCGGAGGTGATGGCTGCAGGCTAGAAAAACCGCCAAGAAAGAAAACAAAACGAATCGCAGAACAAGTCAACCAGAATTCTCACCTGAGACACAAATGACCAGGCTCCAATTATTGTACTTGGGACACATTATGCAAAGACCCATAAGAGGGAGAGGCGATGAGAGCGGGACAAGAATTTATTTATTTATTTATTTATTTATTTATTAAAAAGAATTTATTTTAATTCTTGTTTAAGAATAAGATTTTTCTTATTCCTGTTATTGTTTATTCTTATTCCTGTTTTCTCGTATATGAGTGATAAAGTAACTAAAGGGGCGTGCATAAGTGCACCAACGTGCCTACTGTCCCTGTCCTAATATTTATTTTTATTTGTATCCATTTCATGTATCCAAAGTCATGTTTATACATACATACATACATACATACATACATACATACATACATACGTTGTCTAATACATGCTTGATGAAATAAAATGAATAAATAAATAAAATAGGGGGCATGCAATAAGCATGCCAGCGTGCCCAAAGTCCCTGTGCTACTGCCCCTATTTATTTGTACCCATTTCCTGTGTTCTTTTTTATGTTTGTTCTTATTCCTGTTATCTTGTACATGAGTGACAAACAATAAAGAAAGAAATAACGCCCCCAGGCCAAGGGAGAGAAAGAGAGGGAAATGCCATGAGGAAAGGGAAGGCTTTTCTGTCTTTTCTGTTTCCTGCCTTGGTTTCCCCCCCCCCCTCCTCTTTCTGTAGGTAATAAAATAGTGAAGGAAACATGGGGTCCTCTTGCAGCTGAGAGGAAGACTTGGCCTTCTAACTCTAAATTTGGGAGATAGTTTTCTCCCCCCCCCCCAAAAAAAAGGGAGGAAAGTTGCCAAAAAAAAAAAGATAGTCTAAAACTTTCAAAGAACAGTTGCAAGAATTGGGTATGGCCAGTCTAGAGAAAAGAAGGACTTAGGGAGGACATGATAGCAGTATTCCAGTATTTGAGGGGCTGCCAGAAAGTAGAGGAGGTCCACTTATTTTCTAAAACACCAGAAGGCAGGACAAGAAATAATGGTTGGAAACTAATCAAGGAGTGAAGCAACCTGGAACTAAGGAGAAACTTTCTAACAGTGAGGACAATTAACCAGTGGAACAGCTTGTTGTGGGTGCTTCATCACTAGACGTTTTTAAGAAGAGATTGGACAGTCAGTTTGAAATGGTATAGGTTCTCTTGCTTGAGCATAGGTTTGGACTAGAAGATCTCCCAGGTCTCTTCCTGTTTTATTCTGATTGATTGATTGTATTCGTCATAGAAACCAAGGAACAGGACCAGTTCAGTTAGTCTGCTTTCAGAGAGAATTGTCTAGCTTGAACTGAAATGGACAAGTGGTTTGTCTAATTCCCTCAACTCTCGCACAGTGTCTCAGACTAAAGGCTTTGCAGAAGTTGGGCTGAGACCTGAACTGAAGAGCTTTTCAGCTGAGCTATATTATTGTGAAGGTTTAGGAACTTGACAGTTATTTTTGCCAAACTACAGTACAGAGAGTCTTCAACTTAATGACTACAAGTGAGCCCAAAATTGATGTTGCTAAGTGAGAAAATATCTCAGGGGTTGCCACAAAGAAGAGGGAGTCATACTATTCTCCAAGGCACCTGAGGGTAGAACAAGAAACAGGAGGAGAACTGAGGAGAAATTTCCTGACAGTTGGAACAATTAATCAGTGGAACCACTTGCCTCCAGAAGTTATGAATGCCCCAACACTGGAAGTCTTTAAGAAGATGTTGGATAGCCATTTGTCTGAAACAGTATAGGGTTTCCTGCCTAGGCAGGGGGTTGGACTAGAAGACCTCCAAAGTCCCTTCCAACTTTGCTATTGTATTGTATTGTATTGTATTGTAAATTTGTTAAGGGACTTTTGCCCCATTTTACAATGTTTCTTGCCACATTTGTTAAGTGGATTACTGTACGTCTTAAATAAGGAATCTGGTTGTTAAGCGAACCTTGTTTCCCCATTGACTTTGCTTGTCAGAAGATCGCAAAAGGAGATCATGTGACTCCGGGACACAGCAGCCAAATTTTGACACTGAGCAATCTATTGTAAATGTGAGTCAGTTGTCAAGCATCCAAATTTTGATCAGCGATGCTGCCATGGTTACAAGTGTGAAAAATGGTAATAAGTCGCTTTTTTCAGGGCTGTTTTAATTTTGAATGGTCACTAAATGAACTGAGGTAAGTTAAGGACTACTTGTGTAATAGAAGAAGTCCTCGTCTGCCAACTGTATGTTCAGCGACTATAGTTACAACAGCATTAAATAATTGGGTTTAGAAGTGGTCCTCAAACTTGTAGCATCTACATGGCGATGCGATTATAATTGATCTGCTTCAGAAGTGGCATGCACTTTCAAGGCTTGTAATATCCCATGGTCACATGATTATCATTTTCAAGTTTCCTGCCTCTTTTCACAAACAAAGTCAATAGAGAAGCCAGCGGGACATCACAAGTCAGGGTCACATAATGTCTTTCTTAATGACCTATTGTAATTTGCTTAACAACCATAGTAGAGCTGACATAAGCTCTACTCTACTCAGTGTGGCCTTGTGGTGTTTTACTTTATGACTGTATTGCCTAGCTCAGAGTAAGTGAGGACTCCTATATAGCATTATTTTTAGGAATTAAATGGATGTACAACTTTCCCACCCTCTAGACTACTGTGATAATAACAAAATACTGTTTTTTCTGATTTGAAACTAATGAGTTGAAAATAGAACATTTCCTCACATAATTCTTGTTACTGATATTGAAAAATAATTTCAGCTATATGGTTGTGACAGTGGGCAGCATGTTTAAAACTTGAAGAAATGTCCATGCTCATTATCTTGGGATGCCCCACAACCAACTCCGAACATCCTTACTTTATCCTATCATTGGAGTAAAAAGCTAGAACCTGATGGCCATCAAAAGGCTAAAGATGGGGGGGAATGATGGATCATTGAGGGAAGGATGTTTCATAAGGTAGGGGCAGCCATGGAAAAAGGCAGACTTCCAAGATCCAACTAAATGATAAGATTTCAGGGAAGGAACCTGAATAAATCCATGTGTTCATTGCGA